TTATAATGTGTACAGTATGAGACAGACGTTTGAGGTTTTCTGTCAGTGATTCGTGATCAAGAATATGGGTGAATGTAGGTCGGCGCCTAACTGGCAGGTCAGAACCTTAATGTGGGTCACAAACGTACAGGACAAATTAGGAGAACAATGTGTTTTGTAGACTGGACCAGAACTCCGCCACAGCTGATCTAAAATTCTAAGTATTTAGGGCTGCAGATGTAGGCTTTTCTTTCTCTCGTGAGGAACAGAACTTTGTTGAAAATGGTTAATGGTTACACACAAACGCAACTACAGCTTACAGTGATTTCAGTGCATATTGCAGCAAAACACTAAAATAAGTAGGTAAAAGTCATTTCTCATAAAAACTGAAAGTCAGTTCTCCAAAAACACAGTTCAAACCCATCAATGCGCTGTTTTAAAGGCCAAACGGTCCTGACAGTACTATTTTTTTTCTTTTGAGATTTTAAATTGTCAAGACAGAAAAGGCCCAGGTGGAACTATAGTACTAGTAACGTTAGAGATGGCTCAGTCCCATTTAAATGTCTAGTGACTGGTGAGTCATCATGCACAATTCCAGTTCCCTAAAATAGAATTAAGTTATTACTGATGTTATCAATTTGGCCTGTGACTTGTGAGAAGAGCAAGATCACTTATTAATTGTGACATGTTTTTGTCACCGGTAAAGTTTTATTATGAAACATCCACAGAGAATTAGGTCACTTTTGTTTGGCAGGCATGTAGAGGACATATTTAGTTCATTTGGAGCAAGTATATTCTAACAATTGCTGTTTTCTATTTATTTGGAGAGCTATCCAAAGGCACAAGAGTACGCTCATTACAAGGTTGACTGACAAACACAGGCCCAGAGATCCAGTCAGTTTAGGTTAAAGGTCTCTGTGTGTTGTAGTAAACATACACACACGACTGTGATGCTCCATCTGTGTTGTATAACCTGGTATAACAGAGAAAACAGTTGTACATGCTGTATTATATAATGGCGTTGCTCTGTGAGTTTTCACTCCATATGACCAGATCTGTCCTAACCAAGCAACAGACTGTAGCCTGGAAACAGCAGTTCAACCACCTAGGCTTTGTGAGTAAAGCTACATTCAGTAGTTTCCTCTCATCAGCTAACAGCAAGGGCTAAAGAGCAATGGATGTCCGCTCTTTTTAAACTCATGTCTGACACTGTCCCATGCTGGGCTTAAGGATCAAATTCTCCCTGGTCAGCAGTTTACACACACACACACACACACACACACACACACACACACCTGATGTTTACTTATATCGCTTTTGGGGACATTACGCTAAATCAACTTAAATTCCTTTCCTGGAGACTTGATCCGAATCATAACCACTACTTGCCCAACACTAACTTTTATCACTGACCAAAAATCAGCAATTGCCCAATTGGTGACATGGCTTATCTATTTGAGCCACTCTACAACGAAAACCTCTCTCTCTCTAAATGTGTAGATGTCTCCCTCTAGTGGTCTCAGACACAAACAGCACCTCTCTGTCATCCCCCAAATGTCCCAGGAAAATACAGTATTTTGAGTTACTACCAAATCAAAAACACAACCAGCGACATGGGATCAAACAACGGATGAACGACAGATGAATACCTTTTCTAAGAACCCAAGAACCCAAACTCAGTCTTAACAGGCTAACTGAGCTTAATTATGTTCTGAAGTGTTTTTGCATTTATTACACTTACAATACTTCACCAACCACCTGTACTCCCCAACATCCTGTTTGAATAATTCATAATCACTACAGATGTGTCTCTGTGAATAATCACACCATCTATAATTGTGTCTGTTCATGACAGAAACGGAGTTCAGGCTAAACACAGGAAGGTCCAGACTATTGTAAACAATGATTATATTATAATTATTATTATTATTTATTATAAACTGTCACATCCATTCTTATGTTCCTAAAATTGTTTTCAACTGATGGACCCTGAAGTTTCAACATGCTATTTTCCCCCTTAGTCATCCTCAAAGTTAGATGTTTCACCATAGTATCAGTTGAGTGCACTGATCAACTTCACTTTGAATGAAATATTAAAATCCAAAAATTTAATTTTTATGGTTGTAATAGAGTCGAAAAACATACGTGGTGAGTCACTTATAAACTTCTGTGTTATTTGGTATCTTAGGAGAATTTGGGATCTTCTTTTACATTTAAAATAAAGCTCTCAGGATTTGAACACCACTTTTCTACACAACAAACATTTGTCTGCACTATGCTTTGGCTGATGTGACCTATGACAAGGAAACATTAACATTAACAATATAGGCTACAATAAATAAATCAATTATTTGTTGTAGGCTATATTTCTCTCAAGAACCACATTTCATGTTACACGATGTGGACATGTAATGTTTATTTTATATTAATTTATATTCTAGTTCTTTCTAAAAGAAAAAGTTGCACTCTGCTCTAAATCTTTTAGTTCACTCGTTACACTATGGTTACACATAGTGATTTGCACTGGTCACATCATGTAATGACTCAGATCATTACGGTGCCGACATGCAGCAATCACTTAACGTGGAAAAACACTGCTGGATGGTGGCGAGCGCAAAAAAGAAACAATGTTGCCTTCAGGCTCCCACCACAAGCTACATCCGAGGGCAGTGAATGTAAATCGACACCCACCTGTACAAACATGTGCCAGCTAAAGGTAACAAGCGAACATAATATAAAGATACAGTAATTCACATAAGAGTATCTACACTAGTGTTAATTGCTGGAGTATGCAAACTATCTCCACAGTATTAAAAACAGCAGGGAGTAGGCTATCCTAATATTCCACTTAGGCTATTCGTGGTCACAGACCAGCCCGGTCTGATTCATCATAAAATTGTAATAATGCTAAACACAGATTTTGATGGAATTCTGATTTAAATAAAATAATTTTGTATGACCTCTGAAATATCCAACAGAAAAAACTCCTCAGATGTCACGTGTACTCGACCCTTGAATTAGATATTTCCTACCGCATACGGTACGTAAAAGCAGCACAACAGGCTACAATGGGCTGTTTGCTTTGGTTTGCTCACGAGCGCTGGTGAAGCGGTCGGGTGCAGAGCTGCGGGAGGGAGCGGACAAACGTCAACAGACAGCAGTTTGTTTGTACCGTGTGCACAAACCCGAAAACACCGAGAAACATTACAGAAGAATGACTGTTTAAATCTCATGGAAAAATAAAAAGGTCCTTCAGCTGATCCTACACGTTTACAATGTTTATCTTCAATTGTTCATCGAGAAAATATATAGCCTATAGATATATATAGGCCTATAGAGGGTATATAAATAGGCTAGGCTATAGCATATAGACTTTACAGTTTGAATATAAGCTCGGCTATATAGTTTCTAATTTAAACACTATTTTACTGGCTGATTGTCAATTCTCCTATGCAGAATAGTCATAGATGATGCATTTAATAGTAGGCTTAGGCAATTATTGGTTTTCTTTAAAACATTTGTCTGAGCTTTAATTAAGTGAGTAAATGATGATTACCTGATAACACTATAGCCTACTATTGGCGAACTTTTATTTTGAGGGGCCACATGTCGGAAGTCCACTTTGTAGCCTACCTAGGAACGCATCTTCACTATAAGTGCTCCTCCACATACTTTCGTTTTGTAAATCCGTGCGCAAACTGAGCACGATTTATTGGTCTTTGTGAACCGAAATGTCTACTCAGAGATTTCCACATTGAAATAAATAATTGACTCCCATATAATCCCTGGGATCTTTAAAGTCACTGCTGGCCACACGTAGCGTATAGAAAGGACATCATAATATCCTACTGGGTGAAACAGGTGAAAAATACAGAAAATGAGACAATCTGTAGATGAACCTTAGTAACCTGCTCTCTTTATACCACCATAGGCTACATAGTCAAAGATGTTTTTCTTCTTGTAAACACGGTAATTATTCCGGGGTTTAGTGTCTCTAGGGGGAATAATGGGGTCCGGGGTCTTACGTAATTTTCAGACAACAAGCCAACTCGTCCTTGCCTGGGAATCTCACTTCTCCCGCTCCTCGGTGGTTAACCAAGAAGTCGTGTGCACACACTTCTTTGTAATCTGCTACGTGCCAGCGTGCAGTGGCAGGCGCATTTTGCACCCGGTCCTGTTGTTTCCAGGACCCTATAAAAGAGCCGCCCCTTCACTGACAGTCACAACAGTGAGTCGTTTGACACTGAACATACTCCACCAGCACACGAAGACATCAATCGAACAATGGATCCCTGCGACTGCTCCAAGAGTAAGTGTTAACTGTTATGTCTTGTCTCAACATTTCTCATGGTTGGAGACCAGACTATTTGTCATTTTTGGACAATGTGAAGCTGATCTGGCTTAATTTGTTGTCTTCCAGGTGGAACCTGCAAGTGCGGAGCATCCTGCGCTTGCACAAACTGCTCCTGCACCACCTGCAAGAAGAGTAAGTCTGACATCTTTACACCGATAACATGACGTATTGTGTTGGTATTTAATCTTGACCCAGTCAGAGGGACTACTGGATGCAATATATCTGAATTGCTTAAGCTACATTTCCCCCTTCACCCTCGATAGCATTTTATATTTCATTAGCACTGTAACAGTAGAATACTCATGAGGTAGAGTAAAAATTCAGTCATTTATGTTGACGCTGTAGTGTGCAGCATATCTGCCTCCAACCAGCTGCCCAAGAGGCTGTTAATTGGCTTAATTAGCTGCAGCGTAAAGGTGTAGGCTAAATTCTAGTTCACGGCACCAAGTTGACCAATCTGTGCCCAATGGATGATTTGACTTGGTGTCTTACTGTCCATGTTCGGGTACTTGGGCTGGCATCAGCTGTGAGATCAGCACTCTTTTCTTTTCTCACTAACGAACTGTTTCTCTTGTTGCAGGCTGCTGCTCATGCTGCCCATCAGGCTGCAGCAAGTGCGCCTCCGGCTGCGTGTGCAAAGGGAAGAAGTGCGACACCAGCTGCTGTCAGTGAAGAGCCTGCAACATCAGCGCTCTACTGCCCTTGTGATGGCGCCTGTGTGAACAACTAATGACTAACTGCAAATGTCTACATAAAATGTATTTTGTACTCGTCTCAGCGTTGCAGTAAATTGCTCTCCTTAACGTGGATGTGCTTTGGCTTAAAGTGGTCTTACGTGTAAGGGTTTCAAGCCTCAGCATAAAACGGGCTGTGCAGTGTAAAGTCATCTAACACAATGGCTCTCAAAGTGGAGTCTAGAGACCCCCCGAGGTCCTTGACGGTTCTTGGGGTGACCACCAGGAAGTACAATTTTGGTTATTCTATCTGTAAGTAAAATAACTACTAGGTCAAAGGTTTATATTTAATAAAAAAACATAAAAGCCATCATAATGGGGGTCTGTGGTCTAATTTGTGAGTTTAGGGGTCCTTGATGTGGAAAGTTTTAAACCACTGATCTGAAAGGGAGGCAGTAGGCTTACAAAGTTGAAACCCAAGTCCATGTATTATGTCGTAGTGTTGGCTCCTGATTTCAGTAAGGGGACAACTGAAGGGCAAACTCAAGCATGTTAAAGAACCCTCAGTTGAACTGAGAATAGGCCCTATGCGCTTCAGTAGGCATATTGTGGTAAGACGAAAGCTGGTATTTTTCCTCCAACCCAAATTTCAAAACAAAGGGTCATTTGTTAGAGCAGAAATGTGTCGGTGGTAGCAAGTTTTGGTTCGTCGGCTGGGCCTACTTCCGGTTAAACTGCTTGTCCAAAAATATAAGCTATGGAATATTTTAACATGTTGTGACACCTCATTTATCTTGGGCCATCATACACAAATTAGGGCCCCTTATGGAATTTGATCTATTGATCACGAGTGACATTACGTTTATTCATTTAGGTGACAGTTTTATCCAAAGCACAATTGAACCCGGGTCTCTGACACCAAAGGCATGTGTTTTGTCCATTGCGCTATCACCACCAACTTCTACGGCGAGATGAAAGGAGGCTGACTCTGTCTTTTACATCAATGATGCTTGGTGCTCAAACACATTCACAACAGACGCACACAAAAGTCAAACTTTTTATGTGAAGATGAAAACACAGCCACATTATCATGCTGTTGACATTCACCCCAGACGCAAATTCATAAAATGCTCTATGGAATGGTCTGTGGAGTGTATAGGCCTATGTAGACTAAATAAATACCTGGAGCCTATTTATTGTTCTATTGTATTTTATTTGTTTTATATGTCACCATATTTTAATATAACTTTAATTATCTGTTAGCTTGTGTAGCATAAAGGACTACAAACTTTCTTTTCGTTATACAACCTTGTGCTGTATAATAAATAAACTCCCTGGCTTTATTTTGAACTTGGCCTCCGCGGAACTTTCTAACCATGCGGAACAAAAAGGGAGCACTTGTTTCTGGTAGGAACAGTGACGTACACCGGAAGTGTTGCGTTGTTTCTGTGTTCAGGAAGAATTCCGCCCAGTGCTTTTGTCGCCATGGCGTTTCAACAATAGCGTTGCACTAGACGGTCCTGTTTTATAAGACATTTAAGTGGCTCAACATGCCGAAGGTCGTGTCTAGAAGTGTCGTGTGCTCGGACACCAGAGACAGAGAGGAGTATGACGACGGAGAAAAGCCTCTTCATGTCTACTACTGCCTGTGCGGTCAGATGGTTTTGGTGTTGGACTGCCAGCTGGAGAAGCTGCCCATGAGGCCCAGGGACCGAGCCAGGGTGATCGACGGGGCCAAACATGCCCACAAGTTCTGCAACGTAGAGGTGGACGAAAACGCGTACATCAAGAGAGCCGAGGGCATCGAGAGACAGTACCGCAAGAAGTGCGGCAAGTGCGGCTTGCTGCTCTTCTACCAGCACCAGGAGAAGAACAATCCGGCCACCTTCATCGTGGACGGAGCGGTGGTCAAGTTCGGGCAGGGTTTCGGCAACACCAGCGTCTACAGCCAGAAGCAGCCGGAGGCTCCCAAGAAAGTCCGCGTGATGATGACCAAGCGGACCAAAGACATGGGCAAGTTCAGCTCTGTCACAGTCTCCACCATCGACGAGGAGGAGGAGGAGATTGAGGCCCGGGAGGTGGCGGACTCGTACGCCCAAAACGCCAAAGTGATCGAGAAGCAGCTGGAGAGGAAGGGCATGAGCAAGAGGAGGCTGCAAGAGCTGGCCGAGCTGGAGGCCAAGAAGGCGAAGATGAAGGGCACCCTTATTGATAATCAGTTCAAATAGAAGAGTCTCAATGAGGGACGCGCTGTGACACAATGTAATCCTCTGAAGATCCTCATGCCCAGTAGTTTTTCTGTGGCGAAACAGCACTCCAGTACATGGAGGGCAGTATTTGGACATATCAGTATAAGACTGGTGATTTGTGTTGCCTATTAAGATGGTGATGTTGTAGTGCTTTAAATTAGTTTAAAATGTTATTTTGTACAACAATTAAAAGACCAAATGAACCTGTTTGGTATTTTTTTCAAAGCGTTTTGTCTTGGTGTGATTTTCACCGTGGTGTCGGGCAGTCTTCAGGTGCTGCAAATGAGGTTTTGAAAATATGTGTTGGTGCACCTGTCTTAAAATGTCAATGATGACAGATTAATCAGTGAGACTATTCTAAAGGGAATTTGTATGTGAACCTACTCAAGCTGAAGTGACTGTCAAAAAATAATCGGCAATAGTTAATAGATTCAGTCAATCATTGAAGTAATTTATCAAGAAAAAAAATGCCAAACTTTCTGAGGTTCCATCCTCAAATGTGAAGACCTGCAGCTTCTCTCAGTTTCAGCGTCCTGGTTCATGCTGGTTCTTTGTCACACTGTCACAGCTCACTGGGAGACCTGACCAGAACAGAGCCATCGTTAAAGTTTTTACGTAGACAGCAGCAGCTGAAGCTATGTTATAATGATTCTGAATTTACTAAAGGTTTGCTAACATCATTTTTTTTATAAAAGAGACATATTTTCAATTAGGATCTGAAGTGAAATAAAATTCAGAAATCAATCTTTATAAAATTGCATTCGACGTCAATTTACAGTTAACTGTACTAAGAGGATTAATATTTACTATTTGTAATATTTATAATGTGTACAGTATGAGACAGACATTTGAGGTTTTCTGTCAGTGATTCGTGATCAATGGGTGAATGTAGGTCGGCGCCTAACAGGCAGGTCAGAACCTTAATGTGGGTCACAAACGTACAGGACAAATTAGGAGAACAATGTGTTTTGTAGACTGGACCAGAACTCCGCCACAGCTGATCTAAAATTCTAAGTATTTAGGGCTGCAGATGTAGGCTTTTCTTTCTCTCGTGAGGAACAGAACTTTGTTGAAAATGGTTAATGGTTACACACAAATGCAACTACAGCTTACAGTGATTTCAGTGCATATTGCAGCAAAACACTAAAATAAGTAGGTAAAAGTCATTTCTCATAAAAACTGAAAGTCAGTTCTCCAAAAACACAGTTCAAACCCATCAATGCGCTGTTTTAAAGGCCAAACGGTCCTGACAGTACTATTTTTTTTTCTTTTGAGATTTTAAATTGTCAAGACAGAAAAGGCCCAGGTGGAACTATAGTACTAGTAACGTTAGAGATGGCTCAGTCCCATTTAAATGTCTAGTGACTGGTGAGTCATCATGCACAATTCCAGTTCCCTAAAATAGAATGAAGTTATTACTGATGTTATCAATTTGGCCTGTGACTTGTGAGAAGAGCAAGATCACTTATTAATTGTGACATGTTTTTGTCACCGGTAAGGTTTTATTATGAAACATCCACAGAGAATTAGGTCACTTTTGTTTGGCAGGCATGTAGAGGACATATTTAGTTCATTTGGAGCACGGTTGTGATGCTCTGTCTGTGCTGTATAACAGAGAAAACAATTGTACATGCTGTATTATATAATGGCGTTGCTCTGTGAGTTTTCACTATATATGACCAGATCTGTCCTAACCAAGCAACAGACTGTACAAGAAATGTTAAGTAGAAGGTGTTATTAGAGGTAAGATAAGTTTATGAAGAAAACTACTGACCGACAGTTTATACAGAGAGATACATGACCTATGTTTTATGTAGGCTTATTTTCACAAGCAAATGTTTCACATAGCTAGACTTTCAAATGACACTTAAGAAAGTCTATTTAAGAAAAAAAAATCAATCTTTGTGACCGGAGAAAAATAGTGTAGTATGCTATATTACGTGATATTAGAGAAATTAAAACCCAATGTTTTTGGTGCTTTAAAGCTGTTATTCCACGTGACCTAGTTAACCCTAGAGGAGTAGCCTGTAATGCAGTGTTGCTGCCCCAAACATTTAAAACGGAAACAGTTCAACACATTTGGGCACTTGTGATGTGGTCACAATAAAATATATCATGTTTGAGACAGTTAAATTCACAACATGTTGGATTCCCTTGCAAAAATAAAGTGTGAATGTAAGTGAATGCAATCTCGACCTTGCATCAAACCACAGAAATGAGAAATGTTTTGTTCAGCAAATCTGGACTGTGTCATGCGTCTGTTCCTGTTGACTGACATGATTTTAGGTTTAACATCGGGCTGTGTTTTCATAAGTAACTTTACAGTTTAATGTTGGACCTGTTTCTCCAAGTCCTCCCGTCCAGCTGGCAGAGCAGCGGGGTTTGTCACATCTTGAAGGAGGCGAGCAAGTGTGACATCCGGCATATCGTCCAATCAGCATCGACCCCAGAAGTGCCGGGGCAAATAATATACTTTCATGCGTGAGCAAAACTGAACAAGAGGTAATAAGTGTAAACGCATTCACCAGAGGAATACAGACAGGACCATACTTACGTCTGCCCTACACAACAGGTATGAGGCATGTCTGCCTGCAACAGTGTCCAATCAAAGATGTTTAGGTTCATGCAACTGCGAGCATGCGAGAGAAGGCTAACCGTTAGCCATGTCGCCTGCTGGCTAACCGCTGAGCGCCATACATTTGGACATAAAGTTAACTAATGTAGCGTACTAACAAAGCTAGGTCTGAGAGGAAACGTGTTTAAAATCGAGGTAGTTGTAACTCTGGTATGTAATTTGCCCTTCTCGACTGTTGAAACTGTGTCTCGCTGTTGTCACAAGTTTCTAAACTAGCTAGCCAGGGTGTTAGCATTGTGCTGACGCTAAGCTAATCTGACAACCACGGCACTCCATGCGCGCGCTTAAGGTGTCATCCTGTTTACGTCAGCTGTCAAAATATGTTATGGTACCTGTATGTCCTATAAACTCCAGGCTATAGTATCTTCACTGTTCACTCTTAGATTTAGATATGAACATAGGTTAATCAATATTTCATGTTATCCTAAGTGAAGGGTTTTGTTTCTGATGTGTCCATGTACATGTTCTACATCTCTGGTCTCACAGTATACAATACATCCAGCGTTTTAGAAGTGAACTGCAGCTTTGACCTTGGTTCGAGAACTTTTAGTTTGAATATGAGGCTGTTTACATAGTTACATATCCTTCCTGCAGTCTTTCCTGAATGCTTAATGTCTACAACCCACAAACATCAGCAGATACTTGGTACACAGTATATTTTCGAAGCCTAACATAATTTTTCGGCTGTGTTTATTTATTGTGCTTTAAAAAAAAATGCACTTGTCATACCTAGTAGGATCAACAGTTTTGCCCTTTCCCAAGCCAATGATACAAATACTTGTGGTGAAGTTTGGGGTAGGATCCATAAAACACTGTCCACCCAGTATTGATGGTGAATGGTGAAGCTTAAATATCATTGCGTTCATTCATTTAATCACTATTCCTCTCTGCGTCTAGAGGTATGGATGCAGAAGGTTTCGGGGAGCTGCTGCAGCAGGCAGAGCAGCTAGCTGCTGAGACAGAAGCAGTGTCAGAGCTGCCGCATGTAGAGAGGAACCTCCAGGAGATCCAGCAGGCGGGGGAGAGACTTCGATCCCGCACCCTGACCCGCACCTCGCAAGATGCTGCAGATGTAAAAGCGTAAGGAATATGTCCTATGCACACATGGTCATCTTGCACAGTCCCATATGTTCCTGTATTGTGCTCACAAAACCTAAACTGACTGTAATACAAATCCATAAACAGTTGTCTGTCATTTTACTTATTCCTTGCCTGCCGCTTTGATGTGCTCTTGTTTCTTTGTTTGATGTTCATGTGTTTAAAATTCGATTTTTGTCAGGGGATCACATTTAATATAATGCTTTCCAGATTGAATAGCCATCTCCTAACTGTGGAAATCCAACTATATCCCTTTTTATAGTTCTGTCCAGCATGTCTGAAGCTCACACCTTTTTGATTTTGACATTTAACATGTAATATATAGAATCTTAAAGTGGCCATTGATAATATATTATTTAGTACAGTTAACTGCCAAATTGTTATAGGGCTAAATGATTTTGAAAAAATATCTAATTGCAATTATTATTTTGACTGATATTTCAATTTGCAATGTTGGAGGCAGTGATCCTTTTTACATAATTATTCTAATTTCCAATGAAAAAAATATTTAAATGATTATGGTGTGATTTCTGCAAGGGTCTTTAGTACTAAACAAAGATGTTTTCTTAAGTCTGTGGTCGATTAATTTTTCAGCCCTAAATTGTTGATGAAATGTAAAACGTATCAACACTGAGTAATAGTCACTGATCCCCCTGTGACCCATCTGCGCACTATTATACAGACTTCTTGTTTTAAGAAATATGTAAGATGAGGTTTCATTGTTGTCTTGTTTAACAGATTCAGTCTTTTCTAAATACCATTTATTTTATACTTGGTTTAATTTTCCTCAAATGCCTTAACATGAACCTGTGTAATTGGTTTGAGTTGTCTTGACATGAATATTAAACCAGTGGAATAGTAGCAAAGCCTCTTGTGCCCTCTAGTGGTTGTGAAGCAAACAAGTTCATTGTCAGTCTTGCTCTCACTTTAGTCCTTCCATTACATGGATGCATTCTTACCACCGCTCTGTCTTACTCTCAGGTCAATCCTTCTTGGTTCCAGAGGTTTAGACATCTTCCACATTTCTCAGAGGTTGGAAAGTCTAAGTGCTGCCACCACTTTTGAGCCCTTGGAGCCGGTCAAAGACACTGACATACAGGTATGAATGACCTAATAGGCCATGCATCCAGCTAGCTGCTAGCTTTGCTGTCACTTACAGACTGTTTTGCTAGAGAAAGACTCCATCAGTGAGTGTTTTTTGTGAAATGCATAAAGACACAGTTACAATTAATATTGTTTCAAATATAATGTGGGTTTTTCTCATCAGGGTGCTTTCATTCCTGTAGTTCGGTTCATTTGGTTCGGACCACTGCGAAAAAAATTCTACATTGTTTAATTTTAGTTCTGGTCTTGTTCACAATGACCGTTGACCAACGAACCAAGAGGAGTAAACATGAAGTTATACCGACTGATTGATAAGTGCAGTTACTCATTGATTGGACAGTTTTGATGATTGTCATCCTGCATTGTCAGGACCCATGTGGGTAAATCA